CATGGAACACACAGAAAGAGGCGTGGCAGACCCCACAAAGTATATACATATATTCTTGATCAGGACGACAAGCCGAGTCGATATAGCCATGTCCGTCCATCCGTCTGTCTGTATGAACGCAAGGATCTCATAAAGTATAAATGCTAGAATAACCAAACTTGGTATACAGATTCTCCTGAGCCCGAGAAAGGACGAGTTTGTTCATTTTTCCCGATGCACCCGCCCACTCCACCCCCCCCCCCCCACCCTATTAATTAATTAATTAAATTAATTTAATTTCTTTTTTTGTGGGGTGGTACAGGGTATTTAAGAGTTGAGCCTGCTCGATTTTAGCATTCCTTTCTTGTTTTTAAATAGGTGAAAAATTATTTTAATTATTATTTACATTTTGAATATAATTTACTTATAGTTTTAGTAATATGTAGTGTTTCCCTTTTGTTATACGGCCTATTGCAACCGCCAGGATATGGATTAACCAACTTTTGAAGGACGATTATGCCAATTTTTGACCATTCCTAGACAATGGCCCCTCATGCATTTTTTAAAGGGTCAAATTGTTATCCACACCTATGAACTGATAGGATGCCCTAAAGGTCCTCAATTGGATTTAATCCGGAATTCTTGCAGGACAATTCATTAAGGGGATATTTCATGTCTAGAAAAACATCATGTTATACGTTGTAACGGGTATTGGGGCGTTATCCTGCTGAAATTGCCAATCCTCTCCATGGAACTCTTTTGGAAATGGTATAAGTTCGCTGTTCAGGAGATCCGCATACATTTGCGCATTCGGCCGATCTGGTATAAAGCATATTGGTTGCTTCCCAAAGTATCTTAAAGCTGCCCATACCATGAGTACCATACCACCATGGTTGCATCTGTGGCAAATCTGCCGGGGATTGCTTAAATCGCGCCAATAATTTTAGTTTCCATTTGAGCCGACTAAATAAAAATTTTTTTCATAACTGAAGATGACCCTTTTGATTTTCCTGTCCCAAAATTTGTATTTTTCGTAAAGTGCAAATCGGGCCATTTTATGTCGGTTTAATACCTTTGGTTTATGCACCTTGGCATCATATTGGAAACGCATTTCCATTCTCTTAATTTTTTGCAACTGTAGCCCAGTTATTTGCATCTTTAATCCTGCCCTAATTTGGGATCAGCTCATTATTTTGATGGTTGGCAAAGGTCGAATATGCCGTTAAGTGCGCTCACCAACTTTGGGAACTGCCCTTTTCCGGCTGTTTGAGCATATTATCGTGGATATTTTAAAAAGTTTGAGACGGTATTCCTATGCTTGTTTATTGCATTAGCAATAACATACTTGTAGACTTTTATGCCATAATCAGCCATAGTTTTAGTAAATTTTTCATTTTCTGTGCTTAACGCGTTCTCGCGGGGCATTTTAAATAATTATTAATTTTAAGTTCGCCAAAACACAACGACACGGCTTTTAATAAGCCTCCAAATAACCTTCTTAGCAATTCAATTTTTTTCTGGAGATAATAAGTATGCTTCAGACTTACAATGTGAAAGGATAAAATGCACATTTATCAATCAAGCATTTCATAGCAAATTGATAAATGGGATTCTGGGATTCTTTTAAATGCTAACGGTACTTGAGATTAAGAGCTGATAAGAAACGAACGTATGAGAAAGCAACACAAAGTAAAAGAGAAAAAAATATATACACAAAACATTAAAACATATATTAAAATAACGGTAATATTAAAAACAAATTTTGCGCATATATTAATTTTACTGAGGTATTTTTTGGAATTTCCCCCCTTCACCGCTACAGAATTTCGTCAATATCGTCCACATTTCAAAAGACACCTTAACCAAACTTTGCACATAAAATTTATACAAAATAATGTACTTTTGTTTCAAATCTAAATCGGATAATTCTAAGAAAAGTTATTAGCGAAACAATTTCACTCCGGCATTACGCCCACAAGCTGCAGCATCAAGTTCCTTCTTCTTCTTCCTCTTTTATCTTCTGCTATGGGCGCATATATGTAAGTCAATGTCGGAAGTTCGCCTGGATACAGGGTATTTCACTGTCGGGCTTGCTCGACTGTAGCGTTCTCTTTTGTCTATTAATAATGTTTCAATAACAAAATCTGAAAAGGCACGACAATTTTAGGTCACAGCTTATTTCGTGCAGTGGCTTCATAATTAAAAAAATGTATTTTAAATTAGTATTTAATATTTGGTTTGGTAATTTTTTTATTTGGATAAGGGTTTTCAAATGGTTATTGATAGAAGCCAGAAATTTGTTTGAAGTTTCTAATGGTGTTTTTTGACATTCTTCCCATTTCGCTTTCTTTGGGTCATTTATGTTTTAAATTTGCCATTTGCTAGCTAAATCCAAAATTACCAAAAAATTTGATATGATATTCAAGTCTGGTGACTGTGCTAGCGGAATCATACCGTGTGGACAGTTCCAGATCAGCCAGGTCTGTACAATTCCCGATTTATGTTTTGGGTCATTGCCTTGGTAAAATGGAAAAAGATACCCAAACTAACATATTGGTACTTTGGATCAAATTAGTTTTCAATTTGGTGGGGTACATATTCTTATCCATGATTCTATCCTGAAAACCAATTTCCCGACTCCGGAGTCAGACATACAGGCCCAAACATGTACACCTCCTCCTCTGTGCCTAAATGTGGGAATAAGATGTTTCTTTTGAAGCGGATTATTCGGCATACGCCATTCCCGCTGCATTCCGTTGGACTGGCTACCCTATTCTCACGTACAAGGCGTTCGATGGTAATCTTCACTTTACCAGGACTCAGATCTACGAGTTCCGCTATTTTCCGTTGGCTCATGAAAAAACGGAAAATGTATGGAAATAAATTAGTTAACTCATTGCTAAATACAATGGAAGAATAACTGTATTTCGGTTACCCATTCGACATTGCTCGCGAACGTAAATGGTTGCAAAATGATCCATTTCTGTTTTGTTGAAAAATAAAGCAATGCTCGAAATATATTACAAAATATATTGCATATCCTACGTTAATATTATTAAATTAGCAAATTACCAAATGTATACTTAAAACACCAGCATTAACACACATCATCCAAAACAATACAAAACAAAACATCCACAATAGAGATGCCTCCATTGGCCCAAATAGAACATTACATTTTTCGAACATCACATTTTGCTGAGTTAAGTCTTATTTGGTGAGTTAAACGAAAGTTAAAAATAAAAAATATAATTGACGCAATTCTTGTTTCATATAAGTACCACATAACTGTGTATTAATTAAACAAACTTGACGAAAATTGTGTGTCGTCGATTGGGCAAGTCGGTTTGTTAGCGAAAATGTGGAGTCATAAGCTGCCATTTGATTATACAATACGGACCAGGGAAACAAAATGCAAGTACATTTTTGTAATTTCTGAATTTAATTTCAAATGCAAATTTTTGCAAAAAATAGATCGCTACAACAGGACGCAATTTTCGTCTAAATTATGGAAGTACACCCCGTAATTGCGCAAAATTCCAAATGATGTTTTAAAAAACGTAAAATAAATTTAATTTTTAATAAACAATATTCTTTTGTGGGATTAGATGCGCTTCTTAAACATTTGTGTTGTATTTTTTCAATAACTAGTGGGCGTTTCCGCAAATGCTCGCGGGCTAATATTTATGCAAATGGCATATTTGTTTTTTATTTAACATAGTATGTTATAGAATTTAAGCACAATTAGTCAGTCAAATGTACTCGTCGACAGTCAGCTGTTGCTGACAGCTGAGTGCGTTACAGGATTTTTACAGAATTAGTCAGTCAAATGTGAGGGTCGACAGCTGTTGCTGACAGTTGGCTTGGAGGGGAAGTTCGAAAAAATGAAATCTTTCGAAGTTCTGTGGCACCAACTTATTTTTTGGGAATTTTCAAAAAGAACTGTATCCGAAATCACCGGATATTTCTGTGACATCCCTGTGTATGATATTTCTCTTCCGACACTCTCTAAAGCTTCTAAAGAGTTCATTTCCCAAATAGCAAATTACTTTGATACGATTCGAGAGTTAGGACATAAAGTACAATAAATACTATGTATGGTAATATGTGCATACATATGTACATATATTTATGTATATAGTATGATAGGGATAAATCAATGCAAGTAATTTTGGCACCCCTGAATAAGTTGTTTTGAAGGAATCAGAGAGGGAACATAAATGGCGAATTAAAAGAAAAGCAGAACGAAATAAAGTACGGAACATTAAAGCAGGAGCAAATTCAAGACTATGTTATCGTTAAAATTTTGATAGTACGGCCTGGTATATCGATCAAATTAATATCAAACGATAAAGGGCCATACATTAATAGTAAGATATTAAAAAAAAAACAAATATTTGACATTGCTTAAGAAAAATAAAGCTTAAGTACTGTATATAGTGTAAAAGAAAAATGAAATACATATCTATATGAAAACTGCAATATTGGACATGTTAATGTAAGGCTGTAAATGTGCAACATGTAGGATCAGGGGATCTTACTTGTATATAGTCAGGACGGATGAGTTGTAGCAGTCTAAGCCTACTAAGCAGCTGATGGCGCTCTTTAGTTATGTAAATTCTCTCCCGCTCTCTTGAAGAGTGCGAGCGTCATGAAAGTATGATATACTTGTATGACAGTCAGTCTCTATTACGCAGTCACACGATGCGGCCGCCAGCATATACAAGTACATACGTGTAGTACACAACATTTGTTACAAACCAACATCACATAATGAACATATAATACATCAACTGTATCATAGAACTTACTGCAATATAACTAATAAACTATATCATACACCCTATTACACATGGCTGTTATTTCTCTTTGATGTTTAAAGTTAAAGAAGAGCATGTCTCTCAAGAACAATTATGCATCATTCTTGTTTCTGCTGACTTTTATTAGTTACTATAGTTACCAATTACGCCATCGTATTTTTATTTTCATAGTTTGTTTTTCGTTTTTTTTTAAAAGGATACATATATTATATTGCTGGTGTACCGAAGCTTAAGATTATTATTGATTCCCATTTCGTCAATTTCAGATATTGATGTCATATCAGCTACTCCAATGGGTGGTGAAGTCGCCATTTTATCTAAAATGGTATACAATAACAAATTATTAACAATTAATCTGTATTCAATTTATAAATTAAATCAAATGAAAAAGCTGAAGTCGGGTGCCCCGACTTTGAAATACTCTGTACCTATGTGTATGAAGTCCATTCCCGAGTTTGACGGGAAGCAAGACAATTATGTCTCATGGAAACAATGTCTCCCTACAACGGGAAAAAGTTGCCATTATCCGAAAAAAATAAGGGGACCAGCAAATGCAGTACTTGCATCATTTAATACCGTTCTTAATTTTAAAGCCACCATTGCAAGGTTGGACTTCACATTTGCCGACAAACTCTTATGACTTATGATTCGGCAACAGCAGCTGAAGCACTTCACACGTTCATTTCCGGATTGAGGAAATCAATCAAGGGCCATAGGGAACATCAGGGACAACCAAAGGCAGGAAGTTCGAAGCAACGCTTTCAAACCCTACAATATGAGAGCAATTTTCAACAAAAGAGCCTATTCTTCGAAAAGGGCCATAGGGAACATCAAGGGCAACCAAAGGTAGGTAGTTCGAAGCAAAGCTTCGTCACGTTTTAGACAAAACACTCAGTCGCAGGGACATAGGAAATTGCAAAATTATGGTGACCAATCAATGCGAAGCCGCTAAAGATTAATCCACTTGCCTCAAGAACAAGACAATGAGAATTATGAATCCCGATCACAATCGGAAGCACCAGCGTTTGATATCGAATTGTCTGAAGCTGAAAGCTGTAATTTTTTATGGGTAGGTAACTCAATGCTCCCGTACTTCACACGTACAGTAGCGGGGCAAGCTATCAAATTTCTTACTGACACAGTAGCGTCTAAAAGTTTAGTAAAACCTCTTTCAGTACTGAAGTACTTTTTGCCCGTTGACAAACCATTCCAAGTAAGGTCAATACATGGGCACACAAAAATTGAGCAGAAATGTCCGATTCATTTATTTAGTATAAAAACATATTTCTTCATTTCGGAAAACATTGGAAAATTTGATGGCATAATTGGTCTCATCCTGTTAAAGCAGGTCAAGGCGAAATTTGACTTTAAATATAATCACGGCTCAGAGCTGATTCACTTTGTAAAATGCCAGAATGTAAATTTCATACATATCGATGACGCGGATGTTCCCAACGCAGTAAAAAAAATCTTTTGATAAAATGATTGACCAACGTTAACGACGGACGTTAACAGATGGAGAACCTGTGTACTCCAAATTGTATCCATATCCGATGGGCGTGTCCGAATTTGTCAACGCAGAGGTTAAACAACTTCTAGCGAATGGCACCATAAGACCGTCCAAATCGCCCTATAACAATCCTATATGGGTCGTCGACAAACAAGGTGTCGATGAATCAAGGCACAAATTAAAGCGATTGGTTATCGATTTTCGTAAACTAAGCCAAAAAAACCACTGATGACAAGTACCCGATCCCATTTCTACAATATTAGCAAATATGGGAGCGGAACAATATTTCACAACATTGGACCTCAAATCGGGCTTCCACCAAATAGAATTGGCGGAAAAAAACAGAGAAAAAAACAGCATTTTCTGTCAATAATGGGATGTACGAGTTTTGCAAAATTTTGCTAAAAAACGCTCCAGGCATATTCCAGAGGGCAGTAGACGATGTCCTCCGGGACCAGATAGGAAAAACTTGTTACGTATATGTGAATGACGGTACACCGGACTACGACGACTGGGAACAGATTAAGTTTAGGCAAGGACAGTTACAAGAAGCCGAAAACAAGCAAATTGAAATAAATACTAAATTCCAGACACCAATTAACGAAATTACAAAGACGTTGAACGCAATTCACAGGACAGAAGATTCAGATTATGAGCATTTGTATGAAACCATTCTTGCAAAGAACAGAATAATTATCACTTATCTTGAAGATCTAATATTTTCCATAACGTTAGCAAAAATCAATAAAGGCCTCCTTGTTATCAACGACGAGACCAATAAGGTCGAAGATAATAATGGCATCAGTCAGCTGGTTTCGGCAACATATCTGGGAACCTACGATGACCGCATTTCCCTGAACGGCACTCTATATGTCAACCATCGCGGCGTCTTGTGGAAAAAACCTGCGGTGTCTGCCGCGTCACAAATCAACGTGACCAGCCATCGAGAGCACCTAAGTTTGCCCTTCCTCCACGATCTCCAAGAATCTTCAACGCATTGGCGACCTGCAATCCGAACTACTATCAAGGCCGTCACTAAGCAGCTGCCTTATCGCACTTGTCCTTCTTTGCTATGTTGGCGTTCTGAGAGTCCGCCGACATCTAGCCCTTAAACGCCGAATTGAACTCGCAGCACATTTGGGAAAACCCAAGGACGGCTTTCAATTAACCCCGGGAGGAGTTAACACGCGGAAGGCAAAATCTGTTGACCAGGTCATTACACCGGACCCCGTTGCAACACAGATGCCAGTTCACACGCGCAAGGCAATATCTGCTGACCAAGTCATCAGACCGGACGCCGTTGCACAGCCGGCGGAACCTCACACCCGCATGCTTACGCTGAGTGACCACTGCAAGAACGGCCACGAGGCGCCGAGTCAGCGTTCTATTGCCGACGCTGTCGCGAGCTATGGGCTATGCTCCGTCTAATTGAAACTACTCAAAACGGGATTTGTTTACTTATATAAATTTCGGGCTCAGCCATGCTGGTCCGAGTTCTAGAGTAGCGTGCATGAATGTTCGTGTTCTGAAACGCCAATCTCATGATTCTATTACCGAGCCAAGAAAAAAAATTGTGTGTCCGGGCGACAAGCGATAGAAGTGAAACTTCGTGGTTATTTAGAGTAATTTAATTTGAGCTAATATTTATACTCTGTATCTGAAATGTACAAGAGTATATTAATTTTGCGAGAGCTGAAAAATGTAACAGGCAGAAGGAGGCGTGGCAGACCCCACAAAGTATATATATTCTTGATCAGGGTGACAAGAAGAGTCGATCTAGCCCGCATTGTCTAAAGCAAAATTATTCCCCCACGACTAAAATCGATTTGATCGATGTTTAAAAATCGAAAAAGATCGATGTAGTCAATATCGATTATTTTGCAGCTCTAGGGCTCAGGTAAATACATTTTCACAGACAAAATGAATAAAAATAGCACAAAAAGTACCAAACATTTTAAAGCTGACAGGTGGCGTTTCATTTTTGTATTCGTTGCCTGCACTTCGAGCAAATTTTTATACCCTGTACCCAAAGGGTATACTAGTTTAGTGCGAATGTATATTGTTTGGTCAAGCAGCAGGCGCAGGCAGCGCAGTCGTCCGCAGCAGACGCATAACTATTCATATATACAAATTATACCTTGCTCTGCGAAGCAAGAAGCGCTAAACGTTTAATAACTCTTATAATGTTTGCTTTGATGGCGCTCAATATTTGCTTTCTTTATAAATTTCCTTTTGTTATCCTTTTCTTAGTCTCTCCAGCTGCCAGTGCAGCTGCAATCGAAGTTAGTTGACCTAGATTCGCCGTGCCAATCTAACGCTTCTCGCTGTGCTGTTGTACGAGACAACGCACTTCTACTTTTGCGCATATTGTTTAAAGGCTCAACTATTTGCGTTGGTGGCCTCTTAAATTCGTGTATATCAATTCGGTTCATAGACAAACATAATTGGCCCTGCGCGGCAAAATATACATATGTACATTTAAAGAGAAATCGTTCTTGTTTTAATTGTCGTGTCTGACGCTCGCTTCAGACAAAACCCATAGACTAAAAAAGGCTCCCGAAAAAGCTCGGTGCCTCAACATTTTGGTGAACACCCGACGTGATTTACATTAAAAAATCGGTGAACCTGAAAAGCCATAATTTGTGGCTCAAAACGATATATATTTGGTGTACTAACTAAGCACTAAGTGTGTGCAAAGTTAGTGTGCATACATACATACATACCGCTGCAGCATCAGTGCACGTATATGTGTACATAATTGACTGTACAAAGCGCATAGTTTTTGTACATATAAACCGCAAGCAAGCGGCGTTGCTTTGTGCGGTCATTCGCCTTTGCTTATATGCCGGTGTTTGGCGCGAATGACAATTTTCGGTCCGAACATTTGAAGTGCGTGTTGTTGTTGCTGCCGTTGCCAAACCGAGACTTGTGTTTTCGTTGTGCATTACATTTCATTCGTATGAGAGTACTGCACTAATAATGGATGGTGATGATTCATCTGTACCGCCGTGTGAGCGTCAGATTGAACGTGGACCCACTGCAGTGGGTCCATGTGAATATCTTTGTGAAAGTCTCAAGGTAATGGAATGAGAATTAAAAGATGACAAAATTGGTTTGTTGAGAGAAGATGAGTTGCTCTGTCTTGTAAAACTGCTCGAGGATAAGAAGATTAATTTTAACCGCGCGCTCAGTAGTTTGGAGGAGTTCGACTGTGGTGACGCTAGCTTCATCCTACATGAGGAGTTTGGCAAAAAACCCGCGTCTGTAGCTGCCAAGCTGGAAATAGAGTTACGGAAGCGCCAGTTTCAAGCGCCCTCTTCGTCAACTATGCGGAATGACTTGACTACAGAGACTCAAACTATGGTGGTCCAAAATCGGTCTCGCTTGCCCGAGCTAAAGTTGCCTTCATTCGGCGGCAGTTACACTGATTATGCTGATTTTATGTCGCTCTTTTCAACAATGATCGCCAAGGATTTGGAGTTAACCCAAGTGGAAAAACTGCAGCATTTACGCTCGTGTCTCAAGGGCAATGCATTAGATGCGATTCGCTCTTTAGAGATATCGACGGAAAATTATACAGTGGCATTGGATTTGCTTAATCGACGTCTTATATTTCAGGCACACATTGCTGAGGTTCTGGGGCTAAAGAAGGTTGATGTTGGTGCGACTGCCAGATTGCGAGAGTTTTCGGACAAGCTGAACGCGCACGTGCGGGCATTACATGGAATGGGAAATTCGGAGCAGATCGCCGATTGTGTCATCATCCATACGCTGCTGCACAGATTGGACAATGCGACTCAGGCCAAA